ACTCTTTCAAAACGGCCACACTTTCGTTGCATATCATGCAACTAGGTTTCTGGTTGTTTGTTTACACAAATAAGTACTTTTCTCCCCATTCTTCATTGAAAAGGTGACACTCAGCATCTACTTTTCCTTTTTAGTAGCCATAAGATGGGTGAAGAAAACAGGATCTGAAAATTAAGAACAATTGTTTATTTACACATTGAATAGTCTACCAAAAAAGTTTTAGAAAAATAATAATTTTTCAAAAATTTTTTGACATGTATATAAACATGACAAACTAAATGTAAATAGTTCATGACATTAAATTACGTTATTACGTAATTGGTTTAAAAGTTTTTTCCCGATAAGTTATTTGATTAAGCAATTTTTATAATTTGCCAATGTATTTAAAATGTATTATGTAAGTTAATTAGAAGTTTCATAAAAAATAATAAAGATCATATTTAATAAAAATATTAAGAATCTTAACAGGCAAATATAGTATTAAGAATTTGATACTAATTTAATTAAAATCTTCGTTAATTTAATTAAGTCGTTTATTTTAGTGTATAGCGATTAAAATATGGGGCTTAAATAAAAATATCAAAATTTGAAAATATTAGATGCTTACCTCTTGTGAGCTCTTTCAACACTCAAATATGCAAAATATATGACATAATTCACTGAAGTCAGTCCCTTGTATATACGGCACTGTTCAAACCAGTTTAAACATGGCAATGCAAGTTAAAACACGATCGCTGTAGCAAACTCATAATTGCTTTTCTTGGAAACTTCATTGCAGGTACTTGCAGCTATTCTTCATCACTATTTGCAAGACTGTGATATTAAGATTATATCTAATGACTTCAACATCTTGGGAAGTGCAGCTAATAAAGAATTGCTCTGCACAAAAGAGTCTGTGGATACAAGAGGTGCGTCCTGAATTAAATGTAAATTGAACACGAGATCTAAAGTTTTTTCTTTTATAATTTCTATTTGCAGTTTATAAAGATTATTTATACATGTTTATTATGCCTAATTTTGGTGTCACATAAGAGCTTAGAAGTGTTGATTGAGGTTGGTTAGTAATCCACTAAGGATTAACACAATACTTCAAAACCTCACTCAGAAAGTAGAAGCCAGAATATCTTTAATTTTGTAGTGCTTTTTATCTCTTTAACTGACATGGCAGTGCAATTTTTTAATTAAAAAAGGCGAATATTTAGCACAATCTTTACTGTAAATGTTGAAAAATTCATGACAGTAATACTTTAGGCCAAGTATAAAAAATACATATTTAACATCTGCACCCACTTCCTTTTTTGCAGCCATCTCTCCCCACTTTTTTTGGGCAATTTTTTCCTTTTTTGAATTATCTATTTTTCGATTATACAAAGAAGACTTCTAAATAAAAAAATTAGATGAACACAACTGATTAATTTTGCCCTTTTTCTTTATTTGTCAAATTCTGTATTGTTTGATGAAAAAAAAATGAAACAAAAGACTTTTGTTTGGCATGGACCCTTTGAAAACAAGCAACAATCATGATGAAAAGGGTTCAAACTTTCTTTCAAAGAGGTAATTTAAAAAAAGAAAAGGACCCCTCTTCCTTTTTTCAAAAACTCTGGATGCTAAACATGTTATTTTTTATTCTAGGCCTTAAATAGCTGAAGAATGTTTTTAATTAGTGTATTACAATCTCTTGCTTAATATATCATGGGCCATGTTAGCATATTCAATATAACAATGAAACATTTGTGGCTAAAATTAAATGAAATAGTTTAATTATTTCTCAAATATACATATACAACCTGAAAATATACAGAATATTAACAAAAACAAATGCATTTTAAAGTAACACCAAAGAACAAATATTTTAGCTACTTATATAAATTCCTTACATTATGAGTGTGAGTTTTATTTCTAATTTCATTCGGTTTTTATCTTTTTTGAGGGACTTTGTTCTTCACCTTCTTTCTTCACTGTCTTTCTTTTACTCATGGAAAGCCATTTTGTTAGGGTATTTTTAGGTGTGGCCTTACTTTCCCTGGAAAGACATAAGAAAAAACATTTGTAATATTAAAATCTGGTAGAAAAAGAGAAGTATGACATTACTAAGGTGAAATGGACATTATAAATTTTGAACGTACATACATACATATTATACTGAATACTGTAATTAAAATAATTCACACACTACACATTACAAGATAATTAAAAATTGTTATTTTAAAAAATGGGAATAGGGATCATCAAAAAAAAAGAGTACAAAAAGAAGTTAAATCAAAATGCAAAAAATATATTTTCAAGCCTACAACTAGGGACTATAAAAAAAAGTAAAACTAAGCTGGAAATAATGGCTATACAATTTTTTCAAGCTACAGATCCCTATTTTGACTATGTATACAATACTTGGATGGCTTCTACATTTCTGCAATGTTTGAAGAGTCTTGAATAACTTAGAAAATTTTAAAGGGTGAAAATCTTGGCTTTCAAGAATCAACTTAAAAATAGCCCTACAACCTTTATAGGAGTTCCTTTAGTTGTCTTGCATAGATTTTGGTGCAGTATACCTAGCCGTTTTTGCTTCAGGCTTTGGTGCTTGAATGGCTTCAAAGAGAAACTTGGCCAATAGCAATAAAAAAAAAACTGATAAAATCTCACCTTCTCTTTCAAGAATCAACATAAAAATAATCCTATGACCTACACAGGAGTTTTTTAGTAAGTTTGCCCAGGTTTGAATGAAATATTCATAACCATTTTTTTCTGTACGCTTGTGAAGCAAGAATAATATGAATAACACTAATATGAAAACAAATGGACAAATTTTGAATAACAATCAAAAAATCACCTTTTTTGCTATTATCAATATTTTAGCAGCCTTTGCCATTGAGATAGGTCCTGAGTGTTGTTTCAACTACAAGTCTGCTTTTTCAGATGGTTTTTGCCCCTATGTTCTATTAAAAATTATGTGAAATTCCTGGGCGATCCTTATTATGAACCACTATCATGGATACACATAAGTAACTACTTATGGGAAATAGATGTAGAACCAACTGCATGTTTTGCCTAAAATTAACTATAATTTTAGGTATGTTAAATTAAACAAACATGTCAGTTTAGACATGATTAGTAAAAGATATGGAACTTGCAGCTCACACAAAGCAGCAACAAGGTTTTACTCCTACTTCTTAGCAAGAACCATAATCAATTTCTATAATTAAAAACCATTCTGAAGAACATGGGAAATGCTTTCCTATATTAATCTTTAACACAATTTTTTCTTCCTAATTTGTAACTATGCTAGAGAAGCTATCTTTAAAACTGATACATTTCTTCCAAACAAGACAAACTCATCTGACAGTTGTCAGAAATATATGCTGACTTTATTGTTAGCACTGTGCACATTTTTCTTAATGTTGACTTCATAAAAACTAACATGAATAAACATGATTTTTATACTTTTGTTTTATTTTAATTTCTTTCAAGCTTTCATATATATGTTTGGTGCTATTGTACACAAAGTTTTCAGTGTAGGATTTTGCAATTCAATAAAATCTGTTCAGCAAAAATCTTTAGAACTTGAAAATTGCTAGTCAACAAAGTGTGCCAACTAGCAAGTAATCACATTAGCTTATGTATGCACTTACTCTAATTTTCCAGTATTTGTTAAAGTAAAAAACGTTTATAAAAAACTATAACTTTAGGAGTCACTTTCCTGTTCCTTTTGATGATGAAATATTTTTATTAGATTATTGAATGTTTCTTTTGCTGTGGCTCACATTTGCACATATGATAAGCTGAAGCCAACTAAAAGAATAACAGCTGAGTCAATCATATTACTTTATTTACATGCAAGCTAACCTAGTGAGTCAAAGATGTAGACCATGCCAGTCATATTAACTCTTTCAGCACGGGCTCGGTCCCTGGGACCGACCTTGTAACCATTTTGTGCTTGTTATAGTTTTCATGCTATAACTTTTAAAATAGTAAGCGATTTTTAACGAAATTTGGCAGATTAAAAGTGAACATTACAATGCTTTCATATGCAAAATATATAATTTTTTTTTAAGTCTTAAGTCTTTTTTTTTTTGCATGTTGCCTATCTATCATGAAAGTAATTTTCATTTTAAGATTAAAAATACTTTTTACATCAAAAAATTTTCAAATTTCACATACGAAATCTTTATAATGTCCAGATAGTTATCAAATGTTTCTTAAGAAAAACCTTATATCTTATCTGTTATTTTCAGTAATTAATCTTTGTACAGGTTTGGTAGATTTGACCGATCTCGCAACCACCATAAAAAATTAGGAAATAAATATAAATTATGCCTCTTTCATTCTAGAATAAACACAAATTATAACATGAAAACATAAATGTTTAGACTAAATGCTTAAATCTCATAATGTTACACATTTATATATATTTATTATATTGACTTTTCAACCATGCCTGGCTAACAATACAGAAGTTACAACGATGCAGCTCACGTGCACTCATGTTACCGTATCAAATAACATAAAACTGACCTTTGGTCTGAAGAAAGTAATTTGTCTTGGCTGTGTTTTAGTAGACTAGTATTTTGTAAAATACAGTCACATTTCAAACATTATATATGTATATAGATTATTGCTATTTTGAAATAAGTTCTTAAACTTATTTTTCTTAAAATATAGAACAGTAAATAAAGAAGTAAAGCAAACAATTATCTCTTCTAGTTATGACCTTTGTACTCAGTTGCTGCTTGATGTAGGTTGCTAAGCCTTTAAAAATTTTGCATGTAGAGAATATGAAACAAAATCATTTTTTTTTAGGTTTTATATATATATACACATTTGAATAACTAAAAACATCAGTACCATAGAATTCCACTATAATTTATCAAGCTTAGTAACTAAGATGTATTTTAGCCTAAACAAATATGAAATTTTGAGCACCACCTCGTTGAAATATTGGTTCAAAAGAAAGAAATGGCATCCAAGTCCATTAACATAGCTGACAAACCCACCAGAGGGACATTCTGAGTTTCTGATTGGTTATTCATGTCATATATAGAAGTAAGTGTATAAAAAGAGAGCATTTCCAAAAATGGAAAGAGATGGGTGGGGTGCCACTGTGTTTAATTTATTACAGGAGCAATATCTTATTTTACCTTCTGATTTGATATTCCAGCTTGTCAATATCAGTAATTTGAGTTTCTAATTCGTACTAAACTATGGACTTAATATTTTGACTTCACAAACATCTAATTTGAACCAGTGATATATAGTACTAACATTTTAATTATATTCTACAGTTTTATACGAAACTTGTTGACATAAATTCATGAAATAGTAGTTAAATAAAATTTTGAATGCAAGTCAACAAACGAGATGACATGGCCTTTCACCCGTGACCCATCTCAAATGGGTTAACTGCTTACCCGCATACTGGCTAAGTCAAGGGTATAATACATATCACTGAAGAATTTTATATATGATATTGCTAGTTAAAAACGATTAAATCAAAGTCACTGGTTTGATTTTCAGGGGCAAAAAAAAAAATTTAATTTGCAGTCAATTATGTATGTCATCAACAATTATCCAAATATAAGCAATGATAATAAAACCAATTTAAAAAACAAAATTTCAATAAAACAAATAGCATAATTTCTTAGAATAACATAAACACTAACACACAAATGGATAGTAAAAAACGAATGAACAAAGCAGCACAGTACTGTATTTCAAAAAATATTATATAATTCTGAGATATTAAGCATTAGGATTCAAATAAAACATCTAGTTCTTTTTTAGGTTGTCACATTTTTAGTAATGAAATAATTTATTAATGTGTGTGTGTGTGCATGTGTTTATAAATAAATAAATATGTGTGTGTATGTGTAGACACACACATATACAGACACACACACAATCATAAAATGTTATAAATCAACGTAAATATTACAATGACCACCACAGAAATTGCTGATCATCAGGTACGATGTTCTGATTATAGAAACTGACCTCAGCGGAAGAACACATTCCAATGTGTTGTTTTTAGAACTGTTCACCACAGTTGAAACACGATGCCACTCAAGGTTCTCAGCTGGCTTTAATAAAGTGAGTGCCTGTGAAATTACAGAAAGCTACATCAATAAACACAAAAACAAGTATTCTTTAACTGGTATTGCAAAACTGTATTAGGCAAAGCAAAGTTTAAAGTACTTCCTTAGCACAGTAATAGAATAAGACTGCTTATGATAATAAATATTCAATCATTGAACCAGCTAACACAAAATTTAATCATGCTAAATACTAAAAGTAATGCAAGTCTCAAAAAAAAAAGCCTGTTAACTGAAATCTCTTTCACCTTGTACTAGGACATTTTTACTCATGTATTTATACCACTATTATTCTAACAGTTCTTACATTATTTACATTACTACTACATTGTTTAAAGTGATAAAACTGACCAAACAGTGTTTTGATGCAATTCCAAAAAAACATTGTAAAAGTAAACAGTCTATTATTCTAAAACATTTAGAACTTATTTTCCTCATGTATAAATCAATGGCACATATAAACCTGATTATATGTTAGTTGTGACATAGACAAAGTGTAACCATTTCTAACCTCTTCTGGTGACACATTCTCAGAATCTAACCACATATTGACAGTCTCTTCCCCATCAAGTACAGCCTGAAATTAAATTCTAAACTGAATGATTGAACATAAAACTTATAAATATGAAAAAGATGCTTTAAATTATTATTATTGTTATTCCTTTCATTTGTATTTTGATACAACTTTGCAGTTTTCTATACATTTCAAGAGACAAATAATTCATAATCCATGTTGCTGAGGGAAACAAACATTTTATCATGTAGTTCCAAATAAATCAAATAATTTTATACATTTTTTAAATACTATGCTAAAACTATATAAAAAAAATCTAAATATTCTAACATCAAGTTAGCATTGCTGCTCTCATCTGATTAGGTAAGCCTTCACTGTAATTCAACATCATAAAGTTCCTCAAATATAAAATAAGTTTTGGTTTTGAATTTAATGCAAAGCTACATGAGGGCTATCTGCACTAGACATCCCTAATTAAGACTAGAAGGAAGGCAGCTAGTCATCACCACCCACCACCAACTCTTGGGCTACTCTTTTACCAATGAATAGTGGGATTGACCGTCACATTATAAGGCCCCACGGCTGAAAGGGTGAGCATGTTTGGTGTAACAGGGATTCATACCCGCGACCCGCAGATTGTGAGTCGAGCACCTAACCACCTGTGAAATACATATACAATGTAATTATAAAGTGTAAACCTTATGGATATGTCATAACATTGTCAAAATTTAAAATAATATATTTTTTCTTTTTCAATACAAGACCTGTAAGAATAATCTGCACAATAAAGCACAAGTAAATTGGGAAACATAACACGAAAGAAACTAAATGTAATTCAAAGGGGGGAAAAAGGCTATTTTTCCTTTAGTTTTTATGTTTTCATTCCATGCACACAAGTCTTTCACAACACAAATGTTTAATGACAAGTTTAGATCACTTGTAAAAATGCAACACTGTATGCTGTTTTGAAAATGTAATAAACAATTTTTCCTTTGATAAATTCTCACTCCAACAGAAAATTCTAGGTAGAAATTTTTTTATATTATTGTTTTGTTTTGTTTGAATTTATGCACAAAGCTACACAATGGGCTATCT